TCGCAGCTCAGCGTGGGGCGAATTGCGTGGTGTTCGAGAGCAGAATCCGACGCGCATGGGTGAAGTTCCTACCGGATGACCCACGGGGGGGCGGACGCCGCCGCCCACGCGCCAGGATCCTGCGATGTGGCCGGCATGCAGGCCAATTTGGTTGTCCTCGAACAGTATCACAATTGGCAGGAACCGGCCAATATGACCGTGCGGGTGTGGTTCAAGCGGGTGGAGAGCGTCGCCGATCAGATCTTGACAGGGATGCGAGCGGCCGCCAGGGATGCCAAACCTTCTATCTTGGATAGTGTGTTGCGGCCCTGGCGGCCCCAGGAGTGACGTCACCTGACGGGTTTTTGTCCAATCAGGGACCGGTTTTTATTTCCATGCCTGGGGCACTGCCACAGGCTGCCACAGTCCCACAACCTACACAATGAACGCGACGCAGCAAAAGACAGGCCACTACACATTGCGTTTCTCTCTGCGATCTCTCTGCCAGGGTACCAGTGACCGTGCTTGCGTACGTGTGTTTGGGCTCAGTCAGCGACATACGTCGCTGGCCAGTTGAACTAGGTACCGTGAAAGGACGGGTGTTAGCCCCCAGTGCCATGGAGGTGGAGCTATTCCCTACGCGCTATGTGCTCGGGGGAATTGGCACGGACGCCCATCAGCCGTTGTCCCTCCCTGTTGCGTCCCTTCACCATGCAGTCGCCTGCCTAAGGTACGTGCACCTGCAAATGTACGAGGGTTACCTGCTGGTTCAGGTGCTCTCGGACTTCGATGGAGGTGGGAAAGCCACGAAACGCCGGCACCCTGGAACTTCACCTTGCATGGAGCCCCGCATCATGATGGAGGTGCTCCATTTTCGCTCGTAGGATACTTGGTTACCATTGCGGAGAGATTTGCCTACATGGCCTGCCACCCGGAGTTGCCGGTGGTTGTTTGCTCGCATAGCCAGGATGCGGGCTTGCGGATGGTGGACCTCCTTGCTGGGCGCTTGAGCGCTCGAATGGCCAGACGCGCGCCGCTTGATGAGCGTAACGGGGAAGTTAGCTCTATCTTTGGATTTCAGGAGCTGCCGATGAGTGCGGACCTGCAACCTTTTGCACAGCTGCCAAGCGAGCCTCGAACCTACACTCCAACGGTACCGGTCAACTTGGGCAAGCTTGCGCAGTATGCAGTGTGGCTTTGTACTGACCCTGCGGTCGTCCGCTGCCACTGCTTGTGGTTGTTCACGGACATGCACCGATGCCCTCGAGGAATACGACCACACGCGCCATACCCTACCGCACATTATCAACCGCTGTCTGTGGACAGGCCGTCACGGTGAGCGTCACGCCTGTGTCTTTTTCCCACTCCGCCAGGAGTCTGGGCTGGATAGGGCGGTTGTTTGGTGGGGTAAGGTTTATGCACTATGGGTCATGAGGGCTTTGCTCCCCGGTAAGCACATCATCCTGTCGGATCATGATGCGGCTCCCACTGCACTTTTCGAGGTGGCCGACCTGCAGGATCTGTGCGTGGACGCCCGGGATGTGCAGGCGTCATCTGATACGCTCATCCCGGCGCCGGATGACTCCTTGTGGAGATTCGCCCCGACTGTGCCAGCCCAGGGCTCCATATGTCCCCATCGGTCCAGGGAGAGTGTCGGTGTCATCTTTGTCACGGAGCCCTCTGCCGACGCCCAAGGGGGTTTTGCCGTTTTTACCAAGGAGCATGGCTGTCGTCATACTGACGTAAGCCTATTGCCACATCGCTTGCGTGGTCCCGATGCCTGGCAGGCTTACGTCTTACGTGGATGCTTGTGAGTCTGTGGGACCAGTGCGAGCCCACCAGTTGTATCGGCAGCTCTGCTCGTCGCCGCAAGAGTTGGAGGAGTGGGCAGGGAGGTCGTCCCATTTTTACAGTCGAAGCTTGCCCATCTTGTCACTTTGCCACGACGGCGACCCTTCGAGCGAAGAACTGCCGAGCTATTGGCCGGTACTCCCCTTTTTGGAACGCAGGCAAGGCACAGTGGTGATGTGGTCACTACATGGGCATACCTCGGCGCTGTGCCCTGACGGAAGCACTATGGGGATGGCGAGGCACCCCGCCGTGGTGGGCGGTCTCTGGCTCTGGGTTGACGGGCGCCCCTGGCTTTTGCGTCGTGGCCCCGGAGCCTTTTCCAGGACCTGGTGCGAGACGGGTCCTGCCTTTTCGCCATGCCCGGCCCAGCCTGACTCACCACATGCGCACTTGGGCACGCTGGCGAATTTGGGCCCTCCTGCCTGCGACGGACCTCCAGCAAGTGGCGGAGGGCAGAAATCCTTTTTTTTGCGGGGGAGGATCTGCTAACCTTGCAGATCTTAGACGTAGACCTAATGGCCCGCTTCTACCGAGCTGTCAAAAGGTTTGACTTGGCCAATGCCGATGGCGATGAAAGCCCCCTGTCTAGCGCCTCCGCCACGGGCGAGGTGGGTATCGAGTGTTCCGGGGCTGGTTCATTCTCGGTGCCGCCTCGCAGTGACGCATGGCAACTCGTCTGCTCCAAGCGATGCTACGGCCCGACGGGGTGCGTCACGGAGTCTGTCAGCAAGTTGGAGGTCACCCCCACTCCGCGACTTAGCTCGTCGGGTCGGTATACCAGCATCTTGCTTTCTCCGCGGCCAGTGATCCTGTTGGCTCACAATATGCTATAGGCGTCAGGCACGGTGTCTCGAGTCCAGAGGCAAAGTCTATTGCCGCGCAACTCCAACGGTCGCGGCGCAGTTCCCACTTGCAGGAGCCGCATTCTGCATGTCTCGCAGCTCTCTGCATTGCGATGGTGAGTGTTCCACCGGCGTGTCCGGTTGTTCGCGGATTTTCGGCTGGTAGCTACACAGCGGCACTTGCCGGAATGCTCCTTCACAAATTGTGGGGTCCAGGCTGCTTTTTCGGAGTGACGCGGGCCAGCGTCCCGGCAGAGACCGTGGGGCGGGCACAGCCGATCGCGGGGATCGAGCTCGGAGCCGTTGGCATGCCAGATTGGCTCTTTGGCGCTCTGTTGCGGCTTCCATGTCGGCTACGTATACTGCATGCACACGAGGACTTTCTGTGCCCATGGCAGCCGTCTGATGCAGTTCGGGCGACCAATTGCTCTGCCCCCTGCGTGCGTGATGACGGGGGCTTGCATTGGCCGGCCCCCAGTGCCATAGCTACTCGCACCTGCTCCTACGGACGGAGCCAAGGTTGCCGCCGCATGGGGACGTCACCGCCGCGCGTGCCTACTTGCCCCTGCGCAGCTTGGAGGACGAGCTCGCGTGGGCCTTCCAATCCCTGCACTTTTACCGCAGCCGTGGGCTTGAAGAGGGTGCCGTTGGACGGGTCATGGCAGCTCTTTATCCGCGCCAGGTCACGCCGTCTGTGCTGCATGACCTCGGCGCCCTCAACTGCCCTCCGCCGCACCTCATCGATGCTCTCCGCTCGGCTACGGCTGCCTCACTGACGCAGTGCACGGGAGCAGTTCGCGACTGGATCATCCAGGAAGTACGCCTTCGGTGCTACGATGATGATCAGCCTGTCAGTCTTCCTCTGCCGGCACCAGTCCAACGTGCCCTTGGAGAACTGTCTCTCGAGCGTGTCGTGGACTTTTTTTTTACACTTCCACGTGTACAGCCAAGGAGCTGCTCTGGAGGACAACGGGCAGGAGAGCCGGCGAATGTCGCACCAGGACACAACGCGGACTTTCCAGACGCCCCTCCGGGTCAGTCTGCGCGTGGAGGACCGCCTCAGCTTTGAATTGGCACATACGTGCTTGGCTTATCCTGCCCCAATCCGCCCTCGTTGGCGCCAAACACCGGTTTTGTTCTCCCACCGCCAAAGCGGCAATAGGCCTCCCTCGGAGGGCTGCCTCCTTCGGTTGGATTTTCGCCAAGCACAGCTCCTGGCTGTCTTTGTGGAATCGGTGGTCCCAAAAAAGGTCAACGGGAAAACGCAAGCGGCGCGTAAGGTACAGAGACGCCATAATCGCCTTAACCCTAATACAGCTGCCCTCATTCTAGTGAGTAAATGGCCCGCTTTCTTGGGGGCAGAGCCCCTGGCCGGCGGAGTGCATCATTGGGAGTACCCCCTGCGCAGCCTGTCGTGTATAAAGGTGGGCGGGGCACTCGATGTTTTCTTGCCTTTGCTATCATTTCACCTCCCTTTCCTTTTCCTTTCGGATTCTCTGAAGCACGTCCGTCCTTAGACTGATAAGGGCATTCCGATCGCATATGATTGAGCGCTGAGCAAGCAAAGCAACGCTTCTCGGAAGGGAGCAATGGCTCATGAGCAAACTTACAGGTCTTAGCGAACCTGCAACCCTTGTCGGTTCTCCACTGTTTGCAAATCTCCTTACCCTTGCCCTCAGCGCCCTTCGGAGCGTCATCTCTAGATTTACCCTTCCCTTTGGCATCGTTATCCTCAACCTTCGCAATCCTCAAACGCTTACCGGCATCTGCATCCCCGTCCGGCTTTGTCTTAGACCGAACTGTACCTGAAGCCACCAAGGTCTCAAGTTCACCCTGAACGAGCCTCACCAACTCCACAACCTTGGTCTCAGTAGGCTGGTGATCTATGCTCTTCGCGAATCGGTAGGACGAAATCCTAAATTGTGATTCCGGGTACAACGCCAACGCCTTGGACATCATCATGTCCACACCTCCTAACAGTAAGAAAGGATCAGGAGTAGAGATGTGCAGTTCTGCTGCTCTGTGCTTCCACCTTGACCACCGTTTAATGCTGCGAAGTGCGGCTACTGGTTCCGTGCAACCGTCAGGGTCAGGGTTCGTGAGATAGCGCAACAACGCAGAAAGTTCCTTCAGCCCACCTGGCTGGTAGGTTGTGTGAATCAAGGCTAAGAGCTCGATGCAGGACAACTTCCGATTTGCAACCAACTCTTCCTTGATTACTATAGGCACGGCACGCAACAGCATCGTCAAAGCTCTCTGCTCAACACGTGCATACTTGGTGTGTTCAAAACGATATGGTTACGAAGGTTGCAATGAAAGCCGAGCTACCGGGTCATACATCAACCAGTGCTGATAGTAAGAGGTTGCTGCATCCACAGCCTGGGACCACCATATGCTGCTCGTGGACGAAATATCCTTCATGGCAGGGCTAATCATCGCCAACCAATCCCCCGACAGAAGAAGAGCCAAGTCCCTTTCATGTTTCTTGATTTCCAGCTTTGGCAACTCTGAAACTGACACCCTGACATCCTCGGCGCGCTCATTGACCTCAGTGGAAGAGCCCCACAAGCCAAGCACACTTTTCAACCATTCCAACCCCTCACCAACCCTCTGTTTAGGAGACTTACTTCCTCCTGGGCTCTGTCTTGCCCCAACGGCAGCAGTAGCAAGCCCCCCTTGACGAGGTGGCGTAGTAGGAGGAAGAGGCGGAGGCAGGATCTCCGTTCCGCCTGGTGAGATCGGGTACCCGCGGTGAGACATAGAGCGCATCCCTCCTTGGACAGACGATCCCCGTACCGGACTCGTGCTTGGACGACCTTGTCCCGAAGTCAAACACCCGCTTTCGCCGACATTTGGCGTAGCAGCTTGACTATGGGAATACTCTAGAGCACCACCCACAATGGAACGAGCCGGGCCTCTGTGAGCCTGGGCTTCCAAGGATCCTAAAGGCCGAGCTTCCCCACCGCCTGTTTCATCACACGAGGCCCTCTGAGGGACAGGTTCGCTCACACGGATCTGCGCATGCTGCGGCTCCAAGGCCGGGAGTTCTGCATTTCCTACGACATGATGACTTGCAGGACCCTCGTGCAACACTGGCTTGAAAGGGGATTTGGCCTTTGGACTACATACGTGTACGAGTGAGCTTGGAGCACTCTGCCCTCCCAGCTGGGGTGTTCTGGCCTCAGAGACCAACACAGCGTTCATTGGACCGGAAACCCCTTGAGACAAAGCACCTACTCCCTCACACTGACTAGCTCTCCCACTCTCCGCTGGCACAGCCGCGCCACGTCTTGGAGTTGCTTCCGCGGTTCTACCCTGCCCAGCGAGTGACGGCCCCTCAATCCCACCCGCACCCATGCCCCCTTCCGCACCCAAAGTCGCTACACCCACGTCAGCCCTGCCGGTACTGCCGATCGGATTTGATTGCCTCAGATGCTCAGGCAAGCGAGGGGGTGGACATTGCGCAGGGAACTGCCACCACGGCGTTAGGAACTGCTGCCGATTCAGTTCGGCCACCATTTCTGATGACAGTCCTCCTCCAAATCCTGAGACTGCTGTCCCAAAGCCCATTGCACCACTACAAGCACCCATGACACCACTGCCCAATCCAGCGTCCGAGGGAAAAATTCCAGGCGGCGCAGCAGTAAGTCGTGGCTCTGCTCTCACCGAGTCTTGAGACATTGATCCCCTGGAACTTTCGATCCGCTCCAACCTTTCTGCAAGCAGTCTCTGGTTCTGAATCACCGGTGCCAACTGTTCGGCCAACAAGCCCTGAAGCATGCCAGACAGCGAATCCAAAGGACCTGACCCACTGCCCGTGGCCTCATGAGACGGCGCTACACGACCAGTCCAGGAAGAAGGAACAGCTGGGTGCTCCGGAAGCTGCGAATAATCCGGAATCAGCTCTACATCGTCCACTTCCATGCGCATACCCCCACTGCTAGATGGCATACGAGCGGGCGCAGACGTTGGACCCGCTTCTCCCACTCGAGCTACCACCGGCCCCGCAAGAGAACCCACATCAGCCGGATCACGCGAGCTAGCTGATTGCCTCGCTGTTTCCTCCGACCCCTCTGAACGTTCTTCATTCAGTAGCTCCCTCGCTTCTGCATCTAGTCCCATTTCTCCAGGCAGACGATAATCGGGCTCAAATGCCTGACTCGCCGTCCCAGCACCACTCAACAACTGCTCCTCCGGAGATGGCCGATCCAGGCCACTCGGAACATCTGACTCGTTTGGATTCTCCATCACTCACAGAGCGTAGCTTGGGCTCATGACCATGTGGCAATTTGGAGCACTACTTTATCCACCGCACAGGCTCAACGCAACACAAGGCAGTCTTGCTGTACATAACTTCACAAAATTTTCTTGTTGCTGCTGATACTGGCCATACGGTCCGATCAACTGGAATGTTGAAGAGTTTTAGCGGTCTGACTCGTCTGATAAGTTGCAAACTGATATTGTCCTTCTGGCTACGTGCAGTGCAACCTGAGCCTGAGCCTTCAAGAGTTGCTGGATCTCCGCCCAACACTCCGGCGACTCCCAGACGATGAGGTGCGTACCTCGCAGGAACCGCTTAGGGTTTAGGGTTTAGGGTTGGGCTTGCGGCTTTAGGGTCCGAGCTTAGGATTAATGACTGGGAGTTTCGGGTCTAAGGTTCATACTTGGAGGGTCGGGGGAATCAGTAACTGGTTATTTTAGGGACTTATAAGTATCATAACCCCACTTAGGATCCCTTTTAGGGTACTTATAAGTCTACTTACTACCTACTTACTAAGTCCCCCGACCCTCCAAGGAGGGTTCCGGGTGCAGACTTTAGGGCTTAAAAGGTTCAGGATCTGGAGTTTGGTGTTCCTTATCCGTCGTGCTGCTTAGAGCAGCTGGAGTGGTGCATCTTGACTTTCAATTCGCTTCTGTTTGCGAAGTGACCCGGGATCGCCTTTGGGGTCTACGGTCTACCTGTACGCAGCCCCAAACCCTGCAAAATAGTAGGCTATGAGGCCTGAATTTCAAGCTTTTGCGCTGCAAACTGTAATGAAATCGGCAGTTTTGGGGATCCGCAACGCAGGGACCCGCCAGTATCAAAACTTAATTTGATGCTCATGTTTCATGAACTTAGGATTCGGGGTTCCATATTTCTATGTGCCATGTAGAGTCCTGCTGGCTCTCCACTCACCGAGGCCCCCGCCCCCACGACTCCATGCCTGTCGAGCCGCGTGCCCTCCTCATGTGATGCCCAGGAACATGGTGGAGGACAGTGGCACCGACGAAGAGATCCCTCTGCCGAATGTGAAGACCGCCATTCTTAGTAAGGCGGGATGACGGCTATTGGGAGAGTACATGAAGTCCTGAGGCGTTGATCAGGCCTTGTCTTTGGAATTGGACTCTTTATGACTTTATGGACCCGGCATGTGTCCCTAAAACTGATCAGTCCAATTCTGCGAATACGGGCTATGCAGGGCCTTGAGCCTAGGAACCGCGACGTGTTGTTGTTGAGCAGAGGTGCTTTCAAAATGCGAAGCAGTGCTTGGGGCCGGTTTTTGTTGACAGAACTGGTAGGGATGCCGCCACGAAGCACGATACAGATGGAATGCAGCAAGCTCAATCCGCAAACCAACAGACTGCAGTACCTGCACAAAGCCTTACAAGTTGGCTAATGATGAACGAGGTTTGGAAAGTAAGTTTAGTCCCTATGCATGCCTCAATGTAAAGAAGGCCGCTGACGCAGCTCGACGCAAAATATAGCTTCCGGGCAGCTAGTTACAGGCAGTCCAGGAAGGGATCCGACACTTGCCGTCGACGAAGCAGCAGAAAATCCGCACCGAGGCTGACAAGAGGTCGTTCGTTTGTAGGCCGCTTTAACTTGAGTAGCATGGGGTCTGCATAATTTGTGGAAATGTCCGCTTCTCACCCTAAAAATCAATGCGATAACCTTTCCCGGAAGTGTACCTGTCAATGGCACTTGCTGTTGAACTGCAGGTCCTTCTTAGCAGTCCATTTTTCTCTTGGCACACGTCAGGTCATCGACTACTGCAGGCCGCCCGGAGAAGAGAGAGACCCGAGTCGGACCTGTTTCTTGGGGAGATTCCAGGCAGTCAGATGGGTGCCCTCACTTGCATGGTCCACTCTGCTTGGATGACGAAGAAGAGTGTGCCCAGATCAGACATACAGAGACAATCCGGAGGAGAATATGCCAGAGAGCGAGAGAGCGAGAGAGATGTCACCAGGGTTCAGGCTGGAGTGATGGTTTGTCCTAGGATAGACGTTTTGTGCTTGCGCGCAGATGCAGCCCAGTAGTGTCTAGAACCATGAGTTCCTATGAGATATGTCGGAATTCTTCACGGTATTTCAAGGCACGAAGGTACAGATTTGCGTTCCGGTACAGCGTGATTGTCAACTTCTCGTTTCGTAAACATCCGCCATGCTGCAGGTATCACAAGGACAATCCGCCTGAGGAGATTCAGAAGCCCTTGAAGAGTGTGAAGCTTACACAGCACAGCTTTGGTGTGCTCCGGTGAAGCGACTGCATACAGACAAGGGGCAAGCCAAGCCATAGTCATGCCAGTACCCATATTCAGGTAATACGGCCAAGTAGCTAGTAGCGACAAAAGCAAGACTGGCAGATAGCACAGATATTGGAAGGAACAGTTTGGAAGTTCTGTAGAGCCTTCGGAAAAGTGTGTGTGCGCCAGAACTGCATTAGCTGAGTTGCCCGCTGTTTTGTTGTGTCAGCGTGATCACATGATGCAGACTCATGTTCCCATTTCTAATCTCGAGCTACCCATCCCTGTATGTCTTATCGTACGTCATGTGACTCCGTAATCACCATAGCCACTATACCAAGCTGATGCAGGCACGAACCTCGTGGAATGTGGTGTTTCGGAGTGGGACAACGAGTGCCCCTCCGTTCTGAAACTATGAATGTGTTTTGAAGTGGTGATTTGTGGCAGTAGGCAGCGCCGCCAATCTTGCAAGCGCAATTCCACAGCTCTTGGCGCTTTGCTTGGTGTTGACACTGCAATTCTTTTTGAGAGGTGCGGGCATGCATTCTACCTGCCGCTAGCCGCAGCTTCATGTATCAACCGATCCCGCCATCTTGCCCCTGTGAGTTTGCAACACGTGCTAGGCGAGGCAACTGTTTGCAGGGCTCGTGTCAGACCCTCCACCGGAGTCTCAAGGGACTATAGCGCACGGCTATTGAGGCCCTGCGCGCTTCGTCGGCGGAGGTTCTTTCAACCGTCTCCTGTACAGCAGCTGAAGTTTGCCTCCGAGTATGCAGCCCTCCCTCCACCGTCCACCCCTCCCACCCTCCACCTTTTTTGCTTTAGTCGGCGGTCTACCCACACCCTCCTCCCTGCTACAGTGTTGGGCCCGCAACCTTGCATGGTAGTGTGCTCGTTGGGCAAGCCGCGGCGTCAGACGTGAGGGTGTCCCTTATGATCACACTGCTGATGGACGGTCACGTAGCCAAATCGGGTGTGATCAGGGAGCTGAACTGGCCAGTGACGATGCTATGGTAGCTATGGCTGGCTGACGACGATCTGAAG